AACCCTTCAATATGACTTGATTTTTCTCTTGCAGATTGTAAAGTTCTTTGCTTTGTATTTCTGACAGTTTAACTATAATATGCAAAGGTGAATATCTTTTTTCTGAAATTGTCTGTCTAGGGTCCTATAAATCTCAAGTACCTGAATGTCCCTGTCTTTCCCAAGATTTAACAAGTTTTGTATTATTTCATTGAATAGGATTTCTGTGTCCTTAACTTTTTTCCCCTTGCCTTCAGATATTCTGAAAATACAAATATTTCTTCATTTAATAGTGGCTCATAGGTCTTGAATACTCTATTTTTCCTTCTTTTCCATTTTTCATTGTTTTTTTGGTTTGGTTTTGTTTATGGTGGTACTTGTCATCATCATCTGAGATATTTCAGAAAAATAACTTCTCAAACACAGACATTCTTCCGCTTGTTCCAGTTTGTCAGCTGTATTTTGTATTTGACTTTTTGAGCTCTTCATTTCCAAGATTTTTTATTCTTTTTCACAATCTTTTTGTTGAATTTTTCATTTACATCCTATATATGCCTAATTTTATTTAATTGTTTATTTGTATTCCCTTGGATTTTATTGGGCTATTTTATAATAATCATTTCTAAATTCTTTATTGGGCATTTCATCTGTTTTTATTTCTTTGGAATCTGTTACTTATTTTGGAGGCATTCTATTACCTTGTTTTTTCATATTTCTTGTGCTCCTACATTAAGATGTGCTCATTTAGTGAATCAGACAGTTGCACCACTTTTATGGAGCAATCTTCTTAATAAGCAGCTTTCTCCTGATGATGTGTCTTAGGGTGATGTTTGTTATACATTGTCAGCTTTGATTGTAGCTGCACACTGTAATACAGTCTGCTTAAAACTTTCTGGTTGTGATTAAGCACAGTGCATAACATTGCAGAGTCATGGACCCAGGTCTTTATGGAGACACAAGCAGTTCAGGCAGGTATGTGGGTATGAGGTGCTATGTGGCTAGTCCTACATTAGGTGTGGTGGCCCTTATCAGGCAATAGGTATATCTTCAGACATAGTTGATGCTAGATCTGTAACTAGCAAGGGCCTCTAGCAATAGTGGTTCCAAGCAATGGTGAGAGGCCTGCCGTATTTGTTCTCTGACCATTCAGTAGTACAGCCTCAGATACTGCCAGGGAGAGGCAGTGGCAGGAGCTGCAGCACCCCCTCACACTCTATTCTGACAGTGCTTAGACAAGGTGCAGGAGTAGGACAGGGGCAGGAACTGCTGCATAGGGAAGATGGCAATGGGAATTATGGTATTCCCTTTTCCCTTCTGTTGCTTCATTGGCAGTCCCCAACTGGGAGTGGGCCAGTCTTAGTTAATTTATTTCTGGGGCAAAATACCCAACACCCACAAGTTAAAAGAGGAAAGGTTTATTTTAGCTCACAGTTGGTAGAAGTTTCAGTCCATATTTGGCTAGTTCCTAAGCAGAGTAGCAGGGCAGAGGAACATGGCAGGGGAGAAACACTTCATGGTGGGGTAGGCAGGAGGCAGCAAGTTTTCCTTTCCCTTTTTATTCTATTCAGGCTACATGCCCATTAGTTGGTGCCACCACACCTAAGGTGGGCCTTATTATTCACACCCTAAACTATGCTAAACCGGTTGGTGGACTAATCCATTTATCACACACCCATGATCCAGCTACCTCCCAAAAGCCCCACCTGTGAACATGAGGCTTTGGACATCTAGATATAAGCCATTACAGGGCCCATGGACAGAGCTGGGCAGAGTTCTTCTGGAGAGGTGGGCCCTTGGCCACACATGTCCTTGTAGGCATGTAGCAGCAGGAAACAGTGTTCCCTCCCTACTCTTGTAGCACGCAGCTGAGTACTGCACAGGAGGGAAGAGCACCTACAGCCAAATGGTTACCTGCCTTCAGTCCTGGCACTGGCATGAATCCAGGGGCATCTGGCCCCACACTTGGTGTTAGAGACCATGCACCTTAATCTTATTCACAAAGATGGTGCCCTCCATTCTCCTCCATGTCACAACACCTGTCACTTAAGAGTGCAGGGCAGAGAGGAGGTGAGCCGTGCAGGCACCAGCAGCACTTCCCCCTCCCCTTGTGGAAATGAGAAGACATATAAACAAGAAGCCTCAAAACCAGACTTCCAGATCACCTACAGCAACCCCAAAGGAAAACAAGATAGAACACTCTGATACTCAACCACCTTGGACTCCCTGAACTGGCAACAAAAGAGGATCTGGAAAAAATGAAATCAGAAATAATTTCTCAGATAACAGCACAGATTGTGCCCATAGTGCA